GTAGCCGGGGATCTGCCAAAATGTAGATATTTTTCTACGTTTTGGCCTGTCATCCACACGAAAACTGAGTTTTTTCACACGAAAACGGATCTATTTAAAAACTCCGGCCAAAGTGGAGATCTGCGTTTTCTCCGTTTTGGGTGTCTGCGTGTGGACAGACAAAACCGGAGTTTTAAGGTCCGCAACGTCACTTTCCGCGACAAAAAAATGCTGACATCATGTGTGCGACCTGTGTTTACGCTAGCCGACAGCATGGATGCCCTCAGAGCTGCACTGGCTTTATCAATTGTCCAAGCGCTTTTTGCTTGTTTGTTTTTGCAAGCGGAATTACTGCTCCTTGCGGAAGACCACAGACGAAGGACGAGGTTAAGAACGGGGGAAGTACTGCCCCCTACAGGTCTGGCATGTCCTTAACAACGTATTTATCCGGGTACGTGTGGACAGAGTTTTTTTTTTAAACGAGGTGGTGTGGATGCAAGTTATCGGAGGGGCGGATATTCGTTTAAAAAAACCCGGCTACGTGTGGACTAGGCCTAAAACATGCTGGATGCCGGCCCTCCAGGACCCGAATTACCTGGCCTTAAGATCTCTAGTGACCCCATTTTGGATGGGGGGGGGGGGGGGGGGGGGGTGTCTTACACTTGCTCCTGTACACATTTCCAGTCAGATCAAACTTTTTACTTCCTTATGAGTTCCTATAGCAACCCCATCAGGCTCCAGCCATGCAGGATTTTCATTTCTGCAGTTGTCCTTTATTATTAAAACTTTTTTTTTTGCATTTACCACTTACTCTCTAAAGCCTAAACCCACACGACAAGAACCCTGAATTCAGTAACTCTGTGTGAAACAATTCCTGTGGGGAAATTTAGTGTATTTCAGCTTCAGTTCTCCTAAAAACTCCTGCTGGTCTGTTTATTGAAAAGCTGGCTAGATAGGCTTCACATCAGTTTGGTATGTGAAGCCTGTACACAGTGTGATCCAGTCCAACAGAAAAGAAAGAAATGCTAAAACAAACAAGTGTGTGACACATGACACAGAACGGCGCCGACCCCTCTGGCCTCCGCCCCAGACTTTCGTCTGATTCATACATGAACACCGTCGATCTTTATGAAACAAACGCAGTCGCTGACTCACCCAGACATTTCGTGCATCAAAGATGAGCAGCGGACAAAGTGATGAACGCAAACGTCCAAATAATCACACCCACACACAAAATATATGGGTTTTAATCAGGTCAAGTGAGAGGAAGTAGAGCCGATCGTTTGCATGAGTTGGGATAAAATTTCAAGATCTGGGAGATTTTTTTATTAGCAAAGATATTTTGATGGCATTTAATGTCAGTTAAGCTGGACTAGTTGGAAATATATATACAGGTCCTTCTCAAAAATTAGCATATTGTGATAAAGTTCACAATTTTCTGTAATGCACTGATAAACATTAGACCTTCATATATATTACATTCATTACACACAAATGAAGGAGTTCAAGCCTTTTATTGTTTCTAATATTATATTGCTGATTTTGGCATACAGCTCATGAAAACCCAAAATTCCTATCTCAAAAAATTTGCATATTTTCTCCGACCAATAAAAGAAAAGTGTTTTTAATACAAAAAAAGTCAACCTTCAAATAATTATGTTCAGTTATGTACTCAATACTTGGTCGGGAATCCTTTTGCAGAAATGACTGCTTCAATGCGGCGTGACATGGAGGCAATCAGCCTGTAGCATTGCTGAGGTGTTATGGAGGCCCAGGATGCTTCGAAAGCGGTCTTAAGCTCATCCAGAGTGTTGGGTCTTGCGTCTCTCAACTTTCTCTTCACAATATCCCACAGATTCTCTCTGGGGTTCAGGTCAGGAGAGCTGGCAGGCCAATTGAGCACATTATTACCATGGTCTGTAAACCATTTACCAGTGGTTTTGGCACTGTGAGCAGGTGCCAGGTCGTGCTGAAAAATGAAATCTTCATCTCCATAAAGCTTTTCAGCAGATGGAAGCATGAAGTGCTCCAAAATCTCCTGATAGCTAGCTGCCTTGACCCTGCCCTTGATAAAACACAGTGGACCAACACCAGCAGCTGACATGGCACCCCAGACCATCACTGACTGTGGGTACTTGACACTGGACTTCAGGCATTTTGGCATTTCGCTCTGCCCAGTCTTCCTCCAGACTCTGGCACCTTGATTTCTGAATGACATGCAAAATTTGCTTTCATCTGACAAAAGTACTTTGGACCACTGAGCAACAGTCCAGTGCTGCTTCTTTGTAGCCCAGGTCAGGCGCTTCTGCTGCTGTTTCTGGTTCAAAAGTGGCTTGACCTGGGGAATGCGGCACCTGTAGTCCATTTCCTGCACACGCCTGTACACGGTGGCTCTGGATGTTTCTACTCCAGACAGAGTGACAGTGTGACTTAGATCTGTGAGGATGTTCAAATCCTAGAGTTTCACTATCTATTTTCCACCAGAAGCCAATGCAGGAGATAGGCGTAGGAGAATGTTCACCCTGCATGAACAACTCAGACTGAACGATGATAATTAGAAATTATCATTAAAAAAAGTTTTTTGAGTGTTCCGCACCTTTAATTCATATAGACTGGATTGCAAAAAAATAAACAAAAGAAAGAAAATTCCAGCTTTGAATGAGATAACAAGAACAGTCAGAATATTTTCTACATCCCAATCTAGATGGAAACCAGATCTGAGAATTCTGTTCAACCCAAGATTCAGCGTTTCTGACCGTAATCAGACTCAACACGTTCGACCTCAAATCATCAGACTTGCATTGGGTCGGTTATGGGAAAGACGGAACTTTCATTTGGATGTTATGGCTTTGTTTCACTGTGCTTTGAAGCTGTGGAACCTGAGCTTACTTCTTTGTCCAGCAGCTGCTGTTATTAGAAGAATAAAATCAAAGAGGTTTTATAAAAACATTATGAGAGCGGCTGTCACGGTTCCCGTTCAGTTTCTCTGCATTCTAAATTTGTCAAACAGGAAAAATGCAAATCAAAGAAGTTTTCCAAAAAAAATTACCTCTACTGGTGGCACCTGTGCTTGGCAGCCTCGCCTCTGTCAGTGTGCCCCAGGGCAGCTGTGGCTACATCATAGCTCATCACCATCAGTGTGTGAATGTGTGTGTGAATGGATGAATGATACACTGTAGTTTAAAGCGCTTTGGAGTCCTTACTCTGACAGGCGCTATAAAAGTGCGAGTCATTTATCATTTAGAATTCCCTGACGTTTTCAAGTTGGAAACAACAAAACTCAGCTGCAATATCAAAAACATTTTGATTGTCCTACAAAAATATAATTATATTAAATTAGAACATGTCTTAGTTAAAGCTAGAATCCAGAATTTCTTTAATCCAACTATACCATCTTGAAGCTGAAAAATGCCAAGTGGAACTGACAAAAACTGCTGTTTCCCCCAACATCCACTAGGGGCAGGCTTCTGAAAGGAGCATCTACACAGCAGAAATAAACATGTTTACAGCCTGGTACAAAACATATATTTTAATGGTTTAATAGTTCAAGTTTACCATCATGGCAACTCTTAACTCATCCGTTTAGATGCAATAAAAGCTTGAAGTTATGAATAATTAGGGGCATGTCCTTTTGATCGACAGGTGGAAGATGAGCCGTCAGTGCTAGCGGCTTGTCACCCTGCTTGCTCCAAGAGAGGCCTCAGCTTGTGGCTCACTTTAAAAATTTTACAGGAGGAAAAAAGTGCAACAGCCTGGAAGGCAAAGGGAAATAGAGTCGCTCAACTGTCTTTTTCTGGCTACAAGCACCCTCCAACTTCTGTTAGCTTTTGTTAGCTAAGTTAGCTCATAGCTACATTGGCTCAGAGTTTTATAGGTGTCTATCATCTGACCCCACCCACGCAACCCTGCTTTCAGCTGCATTTTTGTATTTTACGGAATGCATCACGTGACCAAGATGGCAGCAGTGGGAACCACCCACTGGGCATCAATTCAGCTCTTCTGAAACTTACAGGTGATGGCGTAGAGGGTTTGTTCATTTTACACATAGTCACTGGGTGTTTTTCAATGTCAAGGCACCTTGACGTCCTTTCTTGGTCAAAGAAAACAGTTAAATGGAACAGATTTGTATCAAGTGACCGCGGCTTCCACGGTGGTGATGTAACGTCACGTGACACGGGCGATAATGTTATATTTTATATGTATTAGTTTCAATATAAATATATAACGAGCATTTTACTTTTTAAATTGTGCATATGTTTATTAAATTAAAAATATGAGTTAGTACCCGCTAGCCACTGAAGCTGCAACTACTAAGCAACTAACCAACAATAGAAAACTTCTTTGGATCTAAAAAAAAAAAAACATTTTAAATTAGTTGACTTACTTTTAAACTTGAAATTTGCCACCGAAGTAGCTGCCGGCTTCTGATCCGCCGTTCTTTTGAAAATACCGCCATGCATTCTGGGTAATTTTCGACCAAGGCTAGGCTACAAGACACCTCCCGTGTATCCTCGCTCAGCTAGCTAAATGGCTAACAATTGGTGAACACACGCCTTGGTAGAACATGAACATTGGAACACGTCTTGGCGATGACGTATCTCCTAGGCAACCGGGGTGGGGAAAAGACATCAAGGTAAGGTTCCTTGGCATTGAGAAACACCCACTGATTTAGCTGTTCTCACCTTCTCTGTAATTATGGCCGAAAGTAACACCTAACGCTATTGGCTAAGACTGACCTTTACAGATTTAAAAAAAAACGTATACATAATTTCTGGAAAGGTGAAAACTCCAGATTGTAGCTTCAAGCAAGACACTTATTTGATGAAATGCTGAGTTTCCTTGGTATAATCTAAAGTTCACAAATCACATGTTTAAATGAGTGCAGAGCATTTATTCTGTATTAACACCACTAATAGAAGTCTGTCTCTGTCACACACACACACACACACACACACACACACACACACACACACACACACACACACACACACACACACACACACACACACACACACACCTACCAGCGAGCTGTTTGCCCATGTTCTCCAGCTCTTTGGAAAAGAGGGAGTCGCCGAGCAGTGATCCCGTCTGCCCCACAGAGCTCCCACCTCTCACAGCCTTCAGATCAGCGTCCCAGACAGCCTGACGCTAGGGGAACCAAAAAAAAAGGAAAAAAGAAAAGTCAGTCACATTAGAAGAAAGACCCTTCAATTAGCGCTTTATATAATTTTCAGCTAATGATGAAATGTTCTGAGCCATATCTATTGAAAAAAGAAAGCCAATTATTATTTTATGGGCTAAAGAAAAACGGGAAACCACAGCAAGTGTAGATGAAAGCCATGGAGGGAACTTTGTTAAGTGAATGTGAGCAGCGAGACAGTCAGTAGTGGTTCAGGACATTTTTATAACCATCAGCAGGGGCTTGCATGCAGACTCATGTGTTGGCAAAGAGCCTGTCAACAGCAAATTGTGCAACGACAGTAAAGCCGCAATAAATTCTGAATTGCTCCCTTGAGTGTACACAATCTTTGAAATTATTCCCAAGCACATTTAAGCAAGCTATGTTTTGACAATTGTGCTCATGCCACTCCTGAACAAAGTGTACAATTAGGAAGAAAATGTGTTATACACACAAAGCATGGCCAAGTCCTAAATGGCAGCTTGCCTGATCACACAATTTATTCCTTTGTGTGGCCAGATGATCCGTTGAGTTAAGTGCCCGTTAGCTCCGAGCGCACACACAGGTGAGATATAAAACTTAACAGCTACAGTTCCACCACCTGTTTGTTTAGTTCACACCAGATAAGTTACCATGCCTCCGATGCCAGCGCTTACATCATTCGATATGTGAAGCTTTTAATGAGAAACAGTCGACTCGGCTGAGTGCTGATGCGGAGTACGGTTCACAGACATCTGGGGATTAACATGTAGAGCAATATTTATGCTCCGCAGTACGATTTACAATGAAGATGAGTTATTGTGTGCAGTCATTTGAAGTTGTGGCTAACACCTGGTTACATCACTTGTATCCATTGTAACAGGGCCTGAATCACTTTCTGTGGTTGGTACGCATGGAAGACCATATTTACGCAAAACAAAGAACAAAATCTAAGGATGATAAATTTATTTCAGCCAATAACAGCTAAAACAAAAAGACTTCATGAGGGAGTTTCCAATATGTCTCAATGTCTTCTGTGGGCCATTTCTACGCGGTTCAGCGTCTCATCTGTTGATGCTATTGATGCCTCCCAGCAGTCGTGGCACCATCATCATTAAATGCAACTAACAGTAATTTAATGTTACAAGTGCAAACCTCTTCTCAAACTTTTGTTTCCTGAACATGGACAAAAAATATTGATTCCTTCTTCCCCAAGTCGCTTAGTTAAACCTTTAGCATCGTCATGAAGTTCGATTATGCTGGAAACAAAATTTCTTTAATGGTTGATCGGAGTTCCGCTTGGAGGATGTTTAGTTACCAGTCTTTATTCATGGCTCTGTTTTGACGCTAAAATGTGAGGGAGTTCACTCCCTTGGCTGAGGAGAAACTTTGCATATGAATAGTCAGGATATAATTGGCATGACAAAGGACTAAAGCACTTTGGGATTCACTTCTTTGTCTTTTTTTTTTCACTATGAGCGGCTCCATCTGCTGACTCTAAAACATTATGAAGTTTCTGCAAACAGACATCTCAACCAGCTCTATACCCTTGCTAGGGTGCTGGAGGGGGCATGGAAGTTCTCCCCGACAAGTCTAAATGTGTTTTGTGGATCTGGAGAGGGATTATAACCATGTCCCCAGGGGTACACTGGGGGTAGCGATAATTTATCGTTATCATAATTTCTGACGCTTATTGAGATGAATTTTCCCTTGGCAATAAATTAAATAAAATGAAAAGATGTGTGTAGGTTGGCAACGTTCATGTCCCTTTAAGAAGCTGTAACACCTTGAGTCACGTAAAAGTGTGACTCAACATAATACATGTGACAGCCCCATCTAGTGGACAACTTTTCTTTTGGCGCATACCTGTAGTTATCATCCATTTATCGTTATCGAGGTGAAATCCTCAATATATTGTGATATTGATTTTAGGCCAAATCGCCCAGTCCTAACTAGGGATGCACCGATCAGGTTTTTTTGCTGCCGATCACCGATACCGATATCAAGGAATGCTGATCACGATACCGATCACGTGGATTGGCCAGAAATTTTCTACAACATTATAATGAGTGCTACAAACTACATAATCTGGGAATAAAGGAAATGTAACCTAATCTAAAATGGTCTCGGTCTGCTTTGATCTATTTTGAAAACTCCCATCAAAACCGATAGGGGCGCTATCGGCCGATTGGGATCAAATGCCGATCCATCGGTGCATCTCTAGTCCTAACTGGGGGGCACACAAGTATGGGGTGGATTGTCCTCTATTAAGGTTTATTCAGTCCCTGTACCAGAGTGGGAGTCTGGTCCAGGTTGCCAGTAGTAAGACCAATTCCCTGGCCTTTCCAGTATCTCTAGGTGCAGCTATGGGGTGGAGAGTGTTGTTTGGTGGCAGCAGGATCTTGTCTCCACTTTTTGAGGATGATGTTCTCTTAACTCCAACAAACAGTGACCTTCAACTCTTGCTGCTTGAAGTGGCTCGGATGAAGATCAGCAGCTCCAATTTAGTGGCCGTGGTTCTCAACTTGAAAAAGGTGGATTTCCAACTCCGGGTCAGGGGAGAAGTCCTCTCTTAAGTATGAGTTTGAAGCTGTTTTTACAGGACCATAGCGTTTTCAAAACGGAATTTGCCGCGGCTCCCTGGGGAGGATATAGGTCGTTTATAAGATCAGACCGTGGCGGTAATGTGGCGCAATCGTGGCAATTTTATAAAAGATTAGGTGATGGCGGCATGAAGGGGGGTATGGGGTGGTCTCTGCGCTGCCGCAGACCTCCATTTATCTTGGACATAACTTGCTTTTTATTGCAATTGAAGCCGTGATCGTTAAGTTTTTTTTAACAAGCAGCTCCTAAAAGTGTCTGTCCCCATCGGTCCCTGTGCAGTCTCTGGTGATCTGAGCTTCAGCTTTAACAGACAGGCTCGTGGAGCTCTGCGGCGCTCCAGTTTGCCATGTCAGCTGATTTTGTTCAAAAAGCAAACCTTATTGCCTGTGTTTACTTTCATTTTCAAAAAATTTGCCAGCCGGAGCTCAGCAATAACTCCCCACGTCATCATGACATCTGCCTCTGGTGCACCAGGGCGCAGACGACAGACCATTACCGCAATCTTACTACCAAGCGACACGGAACGAATGCCGCAATATTCGCGCAACACCATGCCGGCATGGCCCGTTTATAAACATACCATTGCGGTAATATTACGCCGATTTGCCGGCATGGTGTGTTTTATAAAAGCACCTTTAGTGTCTCAAGTTCTTTATTATGAGGGAATGGAGGAGCAAGAGAAAGACAGATCAGGGCCACGTCTGCAGTAATGTGGATGCCATACTGGTCCCGGAGGTTTTTCAGGCATGGCCTGCTGGGAGGAGACCCCCTGGTCGACCCAGTACACACTGGAAGGATTTTATCTCCACGTTGCCCTGGAAACGCTTGTAGCTGGTGAACATTTTCAGGGTGATGAGCGGAATGGTTGGGTGGACATCACAAAAACGGAGGCAGCAAACTTTAAGGTGATTAATATTTGGGTCAATGTCTACTCTTTTGGCCAACACTGCAGAGCATGGTAGTTTGTGTCAAAACACCAAGAATTATTGTTCAGATTAAACTTTATTATCTGCTGCTACACTCCATCTGTTCTGTTGCACAGCTGCATCCACGAAAAGACAAAAGAATATATTTACGTTTTGATTTATGAAGCTAAGTTTGAATGCCCAAACGCTAAATGAAAAGATCACTCCCAGCCTGAAGACACTTGACAGACACAATATTTTTTTTTCCAACATGATCTTCACCACAAAGCAAAAATCTGTTTTTATTTGAAGAAGAAAAAAACAGAAAGCCATGACCTGATCAAGTATGTCCTGACTTTAGTCCAGCAGAAACGCTTTGGAGCACTTTGGAGAAACATAGCTGCTACAGCTGAAAAGAACAACTTTTATCGGCCATAAAAACAGAAAAAGGGACAATTAAATCATGTAAATTCTCAGTGCAGGTGGTTCTACTTTTTGTTGCCTTGAAGTTGATTTTATGACTCACATGGGAACATTATAGTATTAAAGTCAAATAGTTAATGTAATGTGATATACTGTAAAAACTGTATCTCTTTAGAGCACAGACACGCTTGGTTTTAGCGTAAACTAGACCGAGCGAAAAAACGAGGAAAGTCTTTATTTCTCGACGTCTGACCATGAAACCTTGCGTCTACGGCATCGGTCTCCATGTCTGTCAGATACATGAAGCATTTTGTGGCAGAACCACAATGCCACAAACCAAAATCTAATTACAGTCCTCAAAAAGCAGCGATGCGAGCTGAACATCACAGCTGAATCCACTCCCAAGTTTTTTTTTATTTTTTATTTCTCTGCTGGTATCTCCCCGAATCCAACAGCATGACATCATCTTCTTCTCCTCTTGCTCTGGCTCTTCTCAGTTCTTGCAAACAAGGCCACCAACAAATCCCTGTTTTTTAATTTCCTACAGACTTAAAAATCATTATTGGCCTCTAAATCATTACGTTTTAAGACATCGCAGCCAAAATTCTTTTGGAAAACCAGTTCCAGATCTGACAATTTTATTAAGGATGCAATTATTGTTTGGTCCCAGATACCAATTCTTGCATCAGTGGAACATTTGTTTTGCAGATTAAAACAGCATAACGTTAACTCAAAAGCTCCTCGTCTTTTCTACGTGTATTTGGACCGTGCTTTATGTCCTGGGGACTGTAGACTGGAGGGTGAATCTAGCCCGGATATACGGAGACCGTAACCAATTCTCCTCCTCAGATAACATCAGTGAATAAACAAACACCACAATCAGAATGCAACTGTGAGTTCATTGAGTTTGGAGAAGCCATGTCATGGAAAACATTAAAATACATCATAATGATGAATAAGAACTTTTACTGAGAAACTGGAGATGAAATTCAAAGATAAGAGATCTGATTAAATCCTGGAAACACATAATGAAGTGATGAAGAGCGATCTTGGTTTTC